ATACTGGTTTAGTTCTGATGAGGAAGTGCCAACAAACAGATTTAGCTCGGTTGAGCGAAGATCGATAAAATGATTTAGTTCTGATGAGATAGGATCGATAAACCGGTTTATCTGATGACTTACGACCGATAAATCAGTCTAGATCTGATGAATATAACGTTTATCATAAGACATAAATAATAATATTAATAATAATAATTATTATTACAACAACATATAATAATAATAATGATAATAGTAACAGCAAAAATCGATAATGCCTTTTTTATCATTTCACCCCAAGCAAGGCCAATAAGATCAGTAAGACGAAAAGGGTCACTGACTGTGAGAAAAAGAAAAAGAAAAACGCTGTTAAGGAGAGAGAACAATAAAAGATATATGTCTGTTAAAAATATAGGTTTAAAGTATGCTATAATTTTGGTTAAATGTGTTATAAAGCGTATGTAAATATAAAAGTGGACACTGAGATCAATACCAATTGGCGACAGTCTGTTTCATGCAGGCTTTGCGATTATCACCAGAAGATTGGATTGGAGCATGAAAAAGACTGTCCCTGCTTGGTATTGATCTCAGTGTCCACTTTTTCACACACACAAACGTAATATATATATATATATATATATATATATATATATATAATTAGAAGATCACCCAATTACGCTACCCTGGTTTCAAACTTTCGGTATCCTAAGGCAATATAGGACAAATGATTTCCTAGCGGTTTATTATTCATCTATGAACGAACAATATGCAGTGCAATAGAAGGGGAGGATTAAGGCAAGAATTTTGAAATTGTATTTGATGGCGAGTGAATAAATTATACATACTTTCATCCGGGTTCGTACGAACTCAAAACGTACTTTTTAGTGTGTATACATCCCGACATTATTTCAGACCTTTCAATTAGTAGATTGTTTTAGTCCGGAAATGTTATTATAGTTAATTTTGTCCATCTGGCACAGTTTGCAGACATCACTACGATTGATGTAATGTTTAGCTTTTCTTAATATACTCCAGTTCACATAAGTATCTAAATATAGCACATCTTAAGACTATATTTCTTCATATATATATATATATATATATATATATATATATATATATATATATATATATATATATATATATTGACCTATACCCAATCTTTCAATAATACCTTATCGTCAAGACATTTATAAATGTAAAGAGCTGTTACATCCATTGTTAATCTTGATCCTACGAGAATGAAGATTTTGATATGGGAGTATCGAGATATACATTCTTTATATTCATATGTAGAGAAATGTTTACGCATCGACATATATTCATATAAAGAATGGAAACTGGAAAGTTGTATGTGTAAATATGTGTATTTACCAGCATTTCCATCTCTTAGAAACGGATAGATAGAAGAAGCCAGGAGCTACTCGATTAATTTAGATTTAACGTGAGTTCTATTCATCCTGCAAACATACTATCGTCTGACTTGAGAGAGTCGTGTTTATTTTCTGTCGGGGTATTTTTTATTTTTTATTTTTTTGTTACATCTTTTTCCTGTTTTTCTTAGCATCCATTTTTTTTTCTTAAGTTTTCATCCCCTTAGTTTTACGCTGTATATTTGTATCATTATTTTCTGATCGAAAGAGAAAAAAAATCCGATGCCGACCGTTGTCGCCATTAAAAAGGAAACATAAAATTCAAAAAGGAATAACAAAAGTGAAACGATCAGTTAGAAAAACAAATGTGGGTAAGCATAATTTGCTTTCCAAAACAAATTTGTTTGTATGAAGAATGAATTGCAAAAAAGCAAAACAGAACACGACTCTTAATAACAAGTTGTTAATAGCGATTTTATAAATGCACACAAGCTATTGAAAGTTGAGAAGATATGTTTGTCGTTAATTTCGAGCTCTGGGAACGGACTGTCTGCTTAGACAAAAATCGAAACCAGCAAATCGAAATCTCTGTGATCAAGCACTAAGTTCCTTAGCAATCAGTTTCCAAACAAAGAACTGACCAGGCATCTCGACTTCAGTTACTTTCTCACCGACATGACTTTTCTCTTTGTCTTATCTACAAATATTTTTCGGGGTAATTGCTCTGACCAACTATTTCTCTGGTGCCCCGAATACATGAATTTAAGCCTTTCTTAAATTGCCATCTAGGTTAAACCTGTTTATTGTAAAATAGCTAAATGCAACCGCCACTTCTACTCCAAGAGTTTTTCTCGCACTCCTCCACTGTGGAACTCATTTCAGTTTACTTGCTTCCCTGATAAATATAATCTTCAATAATGTAAATGCAACGTCATTCGATATCTTTTGTCTTCTTGAATCCAGTTCATTTTTGTCCTTTCCTCAATCCTCCCTATTCTCAGTCTTCTCTTTTACTTTCGTTCTCTGTAAACCTTGCGCATTAGTGTCCTTCCGGTTTTGTTTGGTGTGAAATTATTAAAAAAATATGCGTAAGATAGAACACAAATTAAAAGGACATGCCTTTCTTTCTTGTGATTCTGTATTAAAACTTTAGTTGTCCACATCTTCAGTGTCAATCTTCTTTTCGTTAATATGTATAGGCTAAAAAAGAGAGATTAACTAGAGAGGATTCAACAGAGATTAGCCCATAAAAACAGGTAGTTCTCATAGGCTAATTATAGCGGTGACAAAATGAAGAAACTTGTGATTTCCCAAAATTAACATTTTTTTTTTTTTTTGCTAAACCGTTTAAACGAAGCAAGAACACCGACCACATATACCAGTGCGGAAGACACTATAATTTCAACCAACAAAGTTCGGCCAGACAAGATAGAGATTTTTATGTGTGTGTGATATATTTATAAGAGCGGTCGATGGTTGCGCTCACACGAAATCAAAAGCCATCGTAACTGAGGGTCTGAGTGTATTGGCCTCGCTCAAACCCATGATCACACTAGATAATGGATTATTCCCAAGAAACTAACTAAGGTACACTCAGCATAGTTCCAGTATAAACTACAGGTTTGCTCTGTGGGAGTTGAACAGATGAATACAAATGTGCCCGAAATGGAGTCTGCAACAGATATTGGCTAACCGCCCTAGCCGACAGGTCTGCTCGAAAACAAATAACCTACAGGAGAAACTTTTAGTAAACCTAGCATAGAAATAAATACAATATTAGAACCGTTAAGAAAGAAAGAAAGAAAGAAAGAGAAATGACACAAGTCTTCAAGTTCAACAGAAGCAGCAATCAGAACATGACAGCCAGCACAACATTTGCAATGGCAGCCTAATCAGCATTGAAGGTTAGGTTTAAAGCACCCAGTTTAGCCCAGCAAATAGCCCTCTGTGGGTAAAAATGTTGGTTTGTGAATTTGGTGACATAGTGGCTATGAGTTCAATTTCTGGGTCGCGCAGTGTATACTAACACTCGGTGGAAACGGGCGAGCAATACCTGAAGAGTGCTAGATAAAAATAAGAACTAGACGAGATATCCCTAGACATAAAAAACAGAGGGTTCAGTCTATCCCATACAGGGTTCACTTGCCCTGATCGATATACACCTGAGAAAGGCCGGAGGGCACATCGACCGAAATTTTGGGATAAGAACGACTAACATGAGGGAAATAGTCTGAATATGAATAGGAGAAATAATGATAACTCCACATTTCAGAAATTCAGCCAAAAAAAAAACCAAACAAATAAAAACGCTGCTGTCACTTTAATGACAGATTAACTATTTTAAAATAGTAAGTGTTATCTTTTTTGTCATTTTCGAGGTATTTTTTAATTTTTGTATTTTCTTTGGTTAGAATTCCAATTTTTTTTTTTTTTTTTTTTCATTTAAATAACCTTGATTATCAAGGTGGCAATAAACATCTATCAACCACTACTATGAATGGCGCCAAGTAATGCACACTCTCTGTTTGAATAAATGTATTGAATCATGCTGAAAAAATATATTTAATATTAAAATCCTTGTTGACTGATCAACCGTTGATTTAAAACGACAAACGAAAAGTCGAGGTTAAAAATTTGAAATAATTTATGATTAAAATATTTACCTTATTGATTTGAAAATGCATTTGTATCTTTTCTATTAATTCACCACAAATAATGTAAAGTTACTTATCGCAAATATTAATTCACCTAAAGAAATTATAAATTTTAAATCAAAGTTTGTTTTTTTTTTTTTATTAAATTTTTGGCACCCTTTTGAAATTATAAATTTTAAACTAAAATTTGTTTAGCTTGCCTCGCAACAACCCCCAGAATGAAAAATTACCAAAAAGTAAGTACGGATGATATACGAGGTACAGTGTAACCCGGATATAAGAGAGTTGTCGGGACCGAAGAAGAAGTCTCTTATATCCGGGTTTCTCTTATATCCGGTTCTCTTATATCCGGGTTACACTGTACTTACAAGGAATTTTTCATAATTTGAAAAACAATTTTTTAAAAATCTGGTTTTGTCTTGTTTATCGGTAAGCGTGAAATTAGAAATAGCACAGTCGAGTCGCCCACATTTGGGGCAATTGCAATGACCCCCCTCCCTACCACCACCAACAACAACAACAACAGCAACAACCGGAGTGTAATGTAAATGCCTCGCTCTGGGAGAATCTGTTGTCAAGATTGGTAAATATAATTTTTTTTAATTTTGATTTTTTTTTTTTTTTTTTTTTGGTGAGGAGGGGAGATTAACAGACAAGATCCATGCATTTTCCTAACACCAAATACCGGAATATCTAAACCGAATGTACGCATTTGGGATCGAACTGATTAAGGCAATAATCATTAGCAAGACTAGTTTTGTAATGATGAAAAGTTGAATGACAAAGTCTGGTATTTAAAAAATGAATTTCTTATTAGATGTTTATAGCAGATCCCAAATCTCCATTGCAATAATGAAGTTAAGATGAATTGCGCTGTGAAGACTACATGAAACTTTTGTGGGGCGCTTTATCCAAATAAACATAGGAAGCGAAATCTTAACTGAAAAATACGAGGCTGTGTTTATACTTTCATTAAAACAAAACAAAGGTCATGCAAGAAAGAAATCAGAAAGGAATATTTGGTGTTATTTACCTGATCTCATATGTTACTAGAAGAATTAAATTATTTCTATTTATTATTACTTATTCTCTCTTTTCTTTCTCGCACATTCTCTTTCTCCCGCTTTTTCTCTCTTTTTTTTCTCTTCTCTCTCTCCCCCCCTCTCTCTCTCTCCCCCTCTCTCCCCCCCTCTCTCTCTCTCTCTCTCACTCACTTATTTTTTCTCTCCTATTCTTTCTCTTTTTCTGTTTCTCTCTTTTTTGTCTTTCTGGCTTTCTCTCTCCTTTTCTTTTTGTTTATTTCTCTTCGTCTGCCTTTTTTTTTGTCACTCTAATTTTCTCTCCCTTTCTTTATTTTTCTCTTTTACTTTCTCTGTCTTTTTCTTATTATCTCTCTCTCTCTCTCTCATTATCTCTTTTTTTCTCTTTATCTCTCTCTCATTTTCTCTCTGTCTTTTTCTGTTTCTCTCTGTCTTTCTCACTTTCTCTTTATCTCTCTCTCATTTTCTCTGTCTTTTTCTTTCAATCTTTCCCGTCTTTCTCTCTTTTTGTTTCTTTCTCTCTTTTTGTTCCACTCTCTTTTTCTTTTTCTTTATTTCTCTTTCTCTATCTTTTCTCATTTTTCTCTTTCTCTCGTTATTTTTCTTTCATTCTCTCTCTTTCTCTTTATCTCTCTCATTTGCTCTGTCTTTATTTTCCCACTTTCTTTTTCTTTCAATGCTTTCCCTGTTTTTCTTTTTCTTTCTCTCGATCTCTTTCTTTCCATCTTTTTCTCACCAAATTAAAATATTGCTGTCTCCAAATGAAAATGTCATCGTGAGCTGAGACATTGACAAACCTTTATGCCACTATCCCTAATTGCATGATTTAATATAAGACTTGGTTTTCTCGCGATGCTAAACGACTCACAATTCTTAAGAATTATTCGGCAAATAAAAGTAATCCATTTTCATTTGTTCCAACATTATTCAGGTTAAATCCTTCCAAGTGTTTTCTCTTTTCGCTTCGCTGACAAAAGTGTTAATAAAGACAAATACATATTACATAAAAGCGAATATTTTTTTTAAAGCTTTTTTTACAGCAATATTTTTTTTTCTGAAGATTTTTCTATTCATATTTCGATTCTAAAGCTTTACAAAGAAGAAGAAACACAAACTATAAATGCATTAACTTTCCAACGAATACCAACCCATATGTAGAAACACCTGCTTGGTGGCCGAGGCGGTTGTATATTTTGCACCGGTGTCACTGGCTGGTATTCGAACTTAGATAAAATGCAAAAAATTAAAATGCTGATTTTTAAAACAACACCAGTAGAAAAATTGATAAAAACATAATCTTCCTATCTGCTACCCCAACTCCCATTTGTCTTCAGCAGATATTTTTAAAGACTAGAGATCATACAAATCTATATATAAAATTCTGTGACCTCCGTTTGTCCATCCGTCCTCACAACCTCAAAAATAGTCATACATTGGCCGATCGAAAGTAAATTTTGGGAAGAAGTGCAAATTAGGTAAGGGGATACAAAGTATAATTGGGTTTTCTAAGTTGCGTACTTTAGTACAATACATTTTCATTATTTTTTGGCAAAAAATTTAATGTTTTGTTATTTAACATAAAATACTTCAACTATCTTAAAAACATTTTAATGCTTAAAATAACACATACTTATTTAATAAAAATGCAACATTGTTATTTGCATATCTTTTCTTTAAGTTTTTATATATACAAGAATCCAGCTTCCAGTTCGCCCTGCGTTAGCGAGAATAAAAATAAAAATGGCCGAACGCTTCAAAAAGTTGTAATTTGGCCCCAGCAAATAATATTTGCACATTGCCAGTTGTCTGTTGCATGCTCAAGTGAATTTATTTCTCGCTGTTAAAAAAGAAAAAGGAAAAAAATCTTAAAAACTATTGTTTACCATGGAATCCTATAAAATTAAAGAAATTCTTAAACCACGATGTACGGTTTTTGTTAAAGTAAAAGGTATTCCAATAACTTGGACCGATTTTAAATGTGAATTAAGTTTAAGCGTCTAATGATTTTTTTTTCTTTTTCTTCCAAATTTGGCGGACATTTGGGCGATATTATTTTTCACACATAATTGCCATGACTTAATATGATCCAATAGAGAAATAAATAATTGTTCACCAACAACACTGATTTATTTACTGCTGACTTTAATCCGTCTTAATGAAACACCCTTACATGTAAACTGTCTTAATGAATCACCATTTATTTTTCCAAACTGTTTATTCAAATATCATCGATTGGTTTGCGAAATTGAACGAAACCTAGAGTTTGTAAATCTCAACAAAAAATGTTCGCGATAACTTTAACAATACTAAATACTGTGAGGATTTCAACGCGCTGACATTTCCGAGTACACCCATCTGTGAAGGTGGCAAGCTAATCTTTATTGCAGGTAACTTCTCAGTCAGATTTGTGTTTCTTCATCATACACAGTCAACGTGTTTTCAATTTCAACTATGCTGAGCTGATAGAGAGCGTGTGATCAGCACTTTTGAACAAAGTCATTACGCTCAAACTTTCGGTCTAGATGACTTTAGAATTCAAGTTAGCAAATCTGACTAGCGACATAAAACATAATCTTCCTATCTCCTACCCTCACTTCCATTTGTCTTCAGCAGATATTTCTAAAGACTAGGGATCACACAAATCTATATATAAAATTCTGTGACTTCCATTTGTGTATCCGTCCTCACACCCTCTAAAATAGCCATACATCGATCGATATATTGTCCGATCGAAACTAAATTCTAGGAAAAAGGTCAAACAGATAAGGGAGTACAAAGTACAGTTTGATTTACTAGGGTGCGTAGTTTAGTACAAAAAATATTCATTATTTTTTGGCGAAATATTGAATGCACTTGGCGTAACTGGATAGTTTCTCTATTGGTCATGTTATTTAAGTCATGGCAATTATAAGTGAAAAATAATATCGCCCAAAGATGTCTACATAGATGTCATTGACAAAAATTGGATTAACCTGTGGATTTGGTTTTAAGTCACTTTCAAACGTTGTCCCATTCTGGAATTATCTCCTCCGGACGATATCAAGAAGTCCTATCCCAGACAAATCGACCTCGGTGAGATTCAAACCCGGGTCTCGTGTTCACAAAGCGACTCGCCTATATGAAATATACCCTCAGCTATATATTATGTCGCTAGATAAGCGCTTTCGAATATGTGTAATTATAGCCAAGTGGATACTGAAACCCTCACGGCTTGGTCAAGAAACCCTTGAAAATATTCTGATGTCTGGGATTTTCGTCAGATTTGGGGATGCATTTCTGCACCTCCCCACTCGAAAGGCACCTACACTAATTTTGCGATGTCGTTCTATCAAAGTTTCTATACTATAAGATTGTACACATAATTAAATTTATATTTTGCTAAAGGAATATATCGTAATATATATATATATATATATATATATATTTTAATTTATCCAAGATAAGCACTCGAACCTTTCCGTTTGTTTTTATAGCTGTTAACCCTTGAACTATATCTGAAGGCCTTTCAAACAGATTTCTTAGATGAAGTACTAATCATACCAGAATTTAACAACCAGAAAAAAAAATGAATTTAAAAATTGTTTTGTTTCGTCAAAAGTGAAAATTCATCCGATGTGTTTGACAATTAAGCAATTGTTAAAATTTATATCTCTTCATTCAACTATCTTGTTTTCAATCAGGGTGTGCTACGGGTCGGGGAGAGATATGTCCGGTACTAAAGTTAGAATATCCAGCATTATTACACTTAGCTTGGACCATTAACTTTACGCCAACTGCATGACAATTCTCTGTGCGAAATGGACTTGGACTGATTTTATTAGTGGAACTAATTTGATATTTTTAAGTCATAAATTCAAATAAAAGTCAGGCGGTATCAGCGGTACATCCCAAGCGTTTAAGCAAGAACAAGTGGAACTATTTCGAGTAACGGGAGGAGAAACTGAAAATGCATTTAAGAGAAAGCCATAAAAGCGAGTTGATGGCCAAGATTTAGAAAGTTTAGTTCAATCCCGTACACTTGAAGATCAATAGTTTATTAAAACTGGCACAAGGCCACAAACACCCATCTTTTTTTTTCTTTTTTTTTTTCTTTTTTTGGCTTCATTCAAAATTTACTGATGCTAACCTCCAAGCCAGAATCTATCTTGGACATTTATAAATTTAGTATTCGCCCGGGCATCTGGTCTAGTTTTTATGCTTTATATATTAAAAGATTATGTATCCTAACCCGGCATCTTAGCTTCAAATACTTCCCCATTGATGTAACGTAGTTTCCCTGTACATTTCCTATAAATATTTTTATAATAATTGTTCTGAGGAACTTTTCTCTTTGGAGACTTTGAAGTATTGTGGTGGCTGTAGTAAGAATTTAAGAAAGAATGTTGTATGTTTGTGTCAGTAATCGTCGCTAGATAAATTTATCCACTCCCCTTTTAGGCATTGTGCCATATTTTTGTATTATTCAAAATAAATATTGCTTTCCTCTTTGGTTCCTCGACTTCATACTTTTAAGCTCAGTACTAGATAAACAGTTAGGTCTCATCATTTTAAAGTTGAAATTGCTAAGTGTAACCGTAAGTTCCATGTTAACAGTTTCTTTCGCACTTCTCGTCTGTGGAACGCTCTTCCATTTTTTTGCTTTCCTATCAATTACGATCTTCAAAAAGTTAAATGCAACGTCGTCATCTTTTGTCTTCTTGTTATTTTATTGTACTCTCTCCTCAATAACGTTTTCTCGTTTATTTCACATTTGCATCCTTGCATCACAGTGGCTCCGCTTACATCTCAGTTGCGCCCCTTGCATCTCAGTGGCTTTATCGCCCACTTTCGGGTGAAATGACGAAAAAACATATGTGACTCCTACTGAGGATGTTTCAGCTCTACAGCAGGTGTCCTAATTGATGGAGAATGTATAGTAGTTCGAGTTGTTAATTTTTCGTTAACTTTAACTTAATCTGGAACACGCCATAGTCGAAGAGCTTTCGTAATGATTCAACTTATTTTACGATCTAAACAACCTCCAGTCTACAGCTGATACCGCGATGTTGATGATAGAGGGTTGGTGATGATCAGGATTTAGAGTTTATGTTGAAAATATTATTAATGGCAATGATATTAGCAGCAGGAACGGGTAGGCGTAATAAAATAAATGGATGTAAATTCTTACATTTAACATTACATGTTATACACTTGGATACGTCGCTAGTTACTATATGTCAGTGTGTGGGTACGCGTGGCTGAATAGGACCTTACCGGGCTTCTGAAAAGTAGAGGCTTATACCTTGTTCCCTGTGTAGTATTGAGTTTACGGTTCCTTCTAAAGTTTTTTTCATTTTCTTTTACTCCCAGTAGCCCCCTTGCGTCTTAGAGGCATTATCGCCTTGCTTGTGTTGAATTGATTTTAAAAAAATGTTTATAGATCTGTATTTCTGTCGTACATCTTATTTCCACGCTTGCAAACCAGATGCAGTTGTGAGGACACGTAATTTTACACCCGGCGGCCGGAAGATCACATCTGTTCAACCCTACACCCGGTTGTCTTGATGGTTATTCTTTTATTACCTTGCATGAGAGAAACAGAATAGATGGGTTGTGAGTTGCAGGGTTGCAAAAATAGACAAAAGTAAAAACAATAAACAGTGTTCAAAAATAATTTCATAGGAACTTTATTCGTTCGTATTCAAAAGGTGAGAAGTATTTTTATTATTATTATTTTTAAATAAGCCATTTTTTATTCTTATGGCTTCATTTTAATAATCAAATTTGGTGGAGCTTTTCT